CGAGATTCTCTCTTGTTCAACCATGTTTTGAAACAAGAGCCCAAACTTACCTTTGCGGCAGGTTTTAAGGAGCTTTGCGGCTACTTCACGATCTAGACGTGGGAAACGCTTGTCCGCGATGAGTTCTTGCTCGGTGGAGGACATGCATGCTTGGGCCCACTGGTAAACTTCATCTCCGGGGGTCTTCTGGAGTCGACCGATGGCCATCAAAACTTGGTTGACGAAACCTCTAGCCTGACCAGCGTTCTCCGGAGGGGATGGTAGTACAAGATCCTTGAGATCCTTGACACGGACAACGGACTCCTCATACGCGGCGTGATCTACGGCGGTCATGCCTGCACTGGGATCGGCAGCTTGAGACGGGTCTGCATTGGGGAACTGGCCAGAGCCTCCCCCACCATTCATGGTGAGGTATGGGCATTCCGTGTCTTCATGGCTGCCGCCGCAAACTCGACATTGTGGGGTATCATCATCTCCGTCGGAGTCTGATGATGAGTCGGAGCTTGCGGCCGATGGCGCTTGTGGGGATGACGAGTACAACCCTCCCAACATTGTGATTGGTACTGGCGGAACACGAATGCCGTCGCCAGCTTTTGGCGGAGGCGGCGCCCCTGCAAGGGGCATGGGAGGCGCTGGAGGTGGTGCGGCCGGAGGCGGAGGTGGCGGAGCCACTTGATTAGCAACCAATTGGGAAAGCTGCTGAACCATTTCCGCTAAAGCCGTCACTTGCACTCTCACATCGGCTTGATCCCTTGTACCGTCTCTACCCAAACCGCCTGCCCTCGACGCGCCGGGGGCTGCGTCTCCAACAGAGGACGCTGCTCCTAGCACTGCCGAATGGCCTGCGAGATGTTGACTTGTTGCAACCCCACCAAGCTCCCTTGAATCAGCTGGGGCATCGTGACCAAGTCCTGAACTTTGAACAGAACCACACGGAGGGTCGGGGATAATACTTGAAAAAGCATTCCCTTGCGACGATGCGGCAACACCGGAGGCATCTTGTGAATCTGAAACCTGAGGTGCTCCAACCGGCTGATGGGTTCCTGGGGGAACTGTGCCCTGACTTGAGGCTTTAGCCGCGCTTGATTCCGTAGCTGTTTCGGCTATTGATGCGGCTTTTGGCGGGGACTCTTGAATCGGAACAGGGGTCGCACGAGCTTGTTGGGTGAGGTGCGCAACAACACGCTCGAGATCACGAAGTCGTTGATGCATCACAGAATTTTCCTGGGACAATCCACGAATGGTATGCTCTTGACTGGCAATGGTTTGTTCTCTTTGCGAGATTGCCTGTTGAGCCTCTTGAACAATGCGTTGAACCTCTTGCTGAGCGTCCTGCTGAGTGGCATTAACAACCTGTCGTGCATTCTCGACATGGCCAATGGCTTCCTGTCGTGTCTGCTCGATTAGTTGCCTCCTGAGCCTCACTCTGTTGTGCTGTTTGTACAGCCTGCTGGGCTTGCGAAGCTAGCTGGGCGGCCTGAACCCTAACATCTGATAGTTCTCTTACAGCCCTTTCCCTGATCCATCCGGCCTCTTGTCTCGCCTGGTCGGCGGCCTGCTGTTGGTGCAAGGCGTGATTGGCTGCCTGAGCAGCGAGGTCGGATGCTCGATGAGCTTGTTGCACCGCAGCTCCAGCAATAAATGCCGCAGCCGGTACGTTAGTCATCGGGTCGGGTCCCTGTGAAGGAAACTGAATGGCTGGGGAAGCTTCGGATGATGTAGGTTCTGACACGATCGGACCACTTGGGGGTGATGATGGTCGTGTTTGGGCTGCTCGTTGAGGTGTGGATGTGCGAACTGTGGACATAGCTGCAGGAACCATGGCTAAGTCAGGGTCATCCGGTTCAGAATCCCTATTTGGGGTTGACCTTGAACGGGGTTCCGAGGGCGGTGATAAGCCCGTTGAAGCCATGACACAGCAATGCAATTTTGCACTCACACGAAGCTAGCTCCACGCGCTTTGAGCAGCGTGTCAAAAGGTGCTACGAGGAGATATCCCTGGATTGGCAGCTGGTTGCGAAACGCTCAAGTGAGCCACTCAAGAAAATACGCCCTGCTGCTTTGCACCTGATGAATTCTGTACTTGTAATTGTACTTGTAGATTGATTGATCCGCACTGCCGCACTCTGGTGCTTATCGAAGGATGTTGCCAAGCTGCTAATGAGAAAATCTGCAAATCGAATGCCTGTAGCTGCAAATATGCTGTACCGCGCAAAGCGACGGTTTTAACGGCTTGCAAAGAAAGGCTATCGAAGGACCCGACTGGCGGGCAATTGGGATGCAGACCGATGGAGCTCCTCGAGGTATTGCGAAGGGTGCAGGCCCCTTGCCGCCGGAATGAAAAATCGATTCCGGGACTCGATGTACTCCCCAATGTTCTCAAGCGCGTTGGCAAATCCGCTCGGCCCAAAATGGGGGAAGTTGCGGAACGCTGCGATGCCAGTCTTCTGCGCCTCGCGGACGATCGCAGCTTGATCGTCCACGAGGACGTGGGCTCCCAGCCCCAAGAGAGCGTCTGCCTTCCCGCCCCTGCCCAACCTTTCGTGTACGATTTTTATCGCAGAGAAGGTGAGTCCAGCTGTCGCCTTCGCGTGCTCCAGGGCGACCTGGAGCTGATGTGCTTAATCCGTGGTAGATCCAGAGAACCCGACCTGGAACGAATGTCCCACGTGATTTGCACAATTTTGTATGGGCTGAAGGTCTGGATGTATTGGGAATGGATCCCTTCCAAGTCCAATTGGTCAGATGCGATTTCCCGTTTAGGATGGCAGGACCCATGGGCCCGCCAGAATGATTTCTCAATGTCTACTGCTTTCTGTTTCCCCATCATGTGGAAGCTGCCATTTCGCGCCGTGCTCGCGGTGACGAGCTTTCTGTAGTGCTTTGGGAGTTGATGAAGTGCATTGGGGAACTTTTAAGGATGTTAGAGGCATCCCAACCGGAGTTGACCGGTGGCCCCCTCTAAGCCTGGAACTCGCGGCGTCGAAATTCGCTTGCTGCCCTGCCTACGAAGGATAGCACCACAAAATTGATAGGTGCGTAGTCAGCTGCGAATTGAACGAGATGCCGGATGACCTCCGGGTTGAGGTGGGGTCCCTGCTGCCCGACGTCAAGAACTCCGTGCCAGTCAAGAGCGATGGTGAGCTCCTTGGGCGGCACTGGCCTTGTAGGCGGCGGGGGTGGCACAGGCGGCGGCCTTCTTGGTGGCGATCGAAAGCGTGTGCCAGCCTCGGAAGTTGCAGCGCTTGCAGCTGCTTTAACGACCTGCGGCGGTGGCGGCTTGACGATGTACCCTTGTGGTGGGTTTGAGCCTGACTTGCTTCTGGGTTTGGCCTTGTTCAGACCTCGCGGAGGCGCCTTGTACCCGAATGCACTCTGAGTCCGAATAGGAGACCTTGCTCGAGGAGGTGATTTCCTTGGAATATCTGCTTTTGCCGGTACCGAAGAAGCTGCACGAGGAAGTTCCTTGGGCAATGGAGGCTTGCTGCCAAAAATGACCTTTGGTGCGGCCTTTGGTGGCGGTTGCTGTATTGCTCCAATCCTCCGGCTATGCGAAGCAATAGGCTCAGCGTGTGTCGGTGCCTCGTATACGCGCCGAGGCACGTAAGCCGCCCTGCCAGTTCTAAGAGATTCCGCGTCCTGCGGAGGCTCCTCTTCTGAGCTATAGGCGTCGAGACGATAGTGCTCCGCTGGTCCTGGGCGTCGATCTGGAGATCGTGATCGCGAGCTTGTGGATGATCTTCTTGGGGGATCTCTCCACGTCTTGTCCGCAAGCGAATACGGGTCAGCCTGACGGAGATGTCCGGATGTCCGCTGTGCTCGGCGGTGAGATGTCGCCTCACGCGGCTGTGGTCCCGAACGAGTACCCAAGTGCCGTGCTCGTCAAATCGTGTCACAGGGTATATACTGTTCTGTGGAGCCAATACAATGGGCCGTGTAGCAAGGGAAGTCCTGGATGGCCTGCCCTCCCGCGCAAGCGCGGGTTCAACACTGTGTGCCCGTTGTTCCACAGGGGTAGGAGCAGTCGGTCCTTGTCTTGGAGGCGACGGAGACCTCGACCTTTGTGGCGATGGGGACCTCGATCTTTGTGGCGACCGTTCCCTGCTGCTCTCCCGCCGCGTTTCCGCAGCTCTAGCGTATACCCCTCGAAGTGCTGTCTTGGCGGCACCTCGCAACACTTGTCTTTCCTCTGCTGATGGTCGGATACGAGGCAATGGAGTGCGTGAGTCGATGAAGCTGAAGGAGGCGTAGGAGGGCGTAGCCAATCCGCTGCACTGGAGGCTGCGGCTCTATCCTGCGACTGCACACCTGACAAGACCACACCTGTGGTTTCAACCGATGCAAGACGTTGCTGATAAGCGTTGTCCGCGGCCTCGATTACCTCAAAGGCTTCTTGGTCGAAAAACCACAGGTGCCAACTATCCAATGTCTCACGCCAGGAAAAGAGCGCCTCAACCTGTTGCTTTGAGGCGTCTGCAAACCTGATCCACCGGAATCGTCTGTCCTGTCTCTTGTACTCGTCTACGACGATCTGTTGCAGAGTGTTGTATAGACGGGCACGCGGCCCTTTCCCACCGCGAGTGCCGCGGTGAGGGCCGACTTCCATGTGCGACCAAAAGGTCGCAGTCACGGAAGGGTTTGTTTACCCGAAAAGCGTTACGGCTGATAACCACTCAAAGGAGAGGGAATCACAGTTTTCTCAACAACGGGGGAACCCGGGACCTTAAAAGGAACGAACCCCGCCGTGACTGCGACCTCTCCCTTAACCTTGTGGCAGCGCGTGCAACGCGCTCTTTTCTTGAGCCTTGAGCCAAAGCAATGACATGCGGACATGCCATTGGTCTTGTACCTTGCAACATGAGTACCTACCTCATGAACCTCTGGGCCATAAATGTCATCGTGATAATTGACTTAATATGGTCCAAATGCCGTGCAGGTTCTAACCGAAAACGAGTGGGACAAACTGCATCTTGCTGGGTCAGGATCGGCATCTGCCCGTCCTTGATAAACTTCAGTCGGAAAACCTGAGCGGTTGCAACCGTGCCAGCTTGCAATACGCCGTCCATTTCTCTCTGGGTACCTCAAAGTGATATCCTCACAAAGGTTCTCAACATGTTCACTAAGGGACTCAGGCCCTGGTCTCGTCAAATTCGGTTCACCTCTTGCGCCAGTCTGGTAACACCCCGTCCCTGCCCAAGGAAAAGAGAACAGAACTGACCACTTTTTGGAGCCAAAGGGATCGGAACTTTTTGCTCCTAATGACCTTGAAGCCGCGCATCTCTGCGTCAGAGACAAACGAACCAACCCAAGCCTCCTTAAACCATAGGGTTAACCAAGAGGGGCTGGAAGAATTGAAGAGTTGCCCGTCCTCTTCTAATTTTGGTTTCCGGCTGTTTTTCGGCAAGCTCATCTACTTGCGCACATCGCGTATTATTAATTGTGCGGACAACGCAATCTGGCTGATTGGATTTACCTGCGCAAGTGACCATGGCTCAGACTCCAGCCTGAGTTTGCCCCGCGTTTATGCCTTCCCAGTGCGCCCCAGCCGGCGCTTACACCAAGGGGCCCGGAACATCCGTGTCAGCCGGGCAAGCCGACAGGCACGCAACAGCTGCGTGGCGGCCGCTTCTGACTCTTGCACAAAGGCGGTGAGCCCTATGTCGACCTCGATCCGGAAGAGGTGGAAGTGCGTTGCTTCTTGGAATTGCTTCCCTTGTTAAGGGGCACCACAAGGGAAACCACAATTTGGCAAATCTTTTCAAGAAGGCCACCAGGGGGTTTGAGGAGTCGTGTTTCTCCTAAGATGCCGAATAGATGGAAACAACACAATCTAAGGACCTTGTGAAAAAGCAGCCGGTCGAATGTTGTGAGACGCCCCAGGCGTAGACGATTTGTTTTGCAGACTGCGAGCAAAATGGTGGTCACAAGGTCAAAGTTTGAAAGGGATTGTCCTTGGGCTGCTGCAAGGATTGACTGAAACAGGGTTTGGCTTCAAATGGGGTGGGGGGTGGGGTGTCTGAATTTCCGAGGTACAACCCAAAACGGACGTCGTACAGAAGAAAGCCGGAATACAGAAAGAACCTAGTTCAAACATCAAGCCAGTAGTTTCCGAGATTTCCCCTGCAGATCCCTAGTCAGGCAGAAGCATAACACTTAAGCCTCATGTTGGGCGTTTCTCCTCATTTAGGTGGTTGCTCTTGATTGGAGGGGATCCAAGCCGCTCAGCCTGCAGTATCAAATGTACCTTGCATGAATGGAACATGACACAAAGGCATTTCAGCGACTCAACTGCCCCAAGCCTTGAGCAAGCTTTGGATTTACCCTGCACAAAGAATGAATACGCTGTAGCCCCCAGAACCTTCCCACCAGAACAAGCTGTTTGGTCGTCCACTTGAACGCGACGAAAGCTCTTTTGAGGGGCGGTGGCCAGTCGAGGAAGCGTCAAACATCCCTGGCCCTAGCAACCATTGAAGACGGGCGCTGAACGTCCTTGCCCAAAAATGCAATTTAGCAACACACTGCAATGAAACTACAGTACCACTTTTGGATGTCCAAAAGGGGTGCCTGCACCATGGGCGAGACTCCCATTGCCAAGGGCTGCACTTGCCCAACGCGCAGGACTGATTTCTGCGGCGTAGGTTGTTCCAGGATCGGTCAAGATCGGTCAAGAAGGTAGTGGGCTCAAGCCGATTGAGAACCAAGCCATTGAGACAGACTGGCACCACTGCGCAAGAGTTGCGAGATTTGCCACTACAAATTTGAGGGAATACCAACAAGCGCGCTTCGTGGGGAAGCCGCTAGACCATATATTGGGAATGTCCTTGGAGCAGGATTGCAATCACAAGTCATGGGTAGTCTGAGGGGAATGCCTAACACTTTCATCCATGACTCATTTGCGCCTAAGCCATGGAAACACAGCTGTCGTAAAAAGCAGCCGGGGCACGTCGTAAAACACGGGAACCGTTGCCCCGCGCTTTTTTCCCCAGCGCCGACCAAACAGGGGCCTTTTTGGGTGGAAACGCCAACCTCTCGTGGAAAGCCTTCGAGCCCATCCCCTTCCACTGATGTCCTTCCAGGTGGCGATTCCGGCAGCCACCAAGAAGACATCGAAGTAGTTCCTCACTCGAAAGCTGCTCATTGCAGCGACAAAACTGGGCCATAGCAAACCAACCGGTCAAAAGACCCCATAAAACGGAAAATCGGTCAAAGTTGAATCATCAGAAAAGATGACAGAAAACGCCAACATCATTGGAACATCAGCGGGCAAAAAGGTCGATTCAATGCCTTTGCGCGCGTAAGGCTCCAGGAAGACTCCGGGCCGCAGAAGTAGAAATAAAGACCCACGAGACGCAGGCGCAAGCACATCTCCACGAAGAACATCGCGGTAAAGCCAATTTCGAGCCATTGCCACCCAGGCCAATCCTGGCATGACTCATGTCAACACGTTTCGGACTGGGCCTTCATATTTGATGCATGCCTATTTCTGTTGATCGATCTCTC